TCCGCGGCATTCTCCCCCCCTTCATCCCCGCCTTTTTTTTCCGCCGTTGTGCCTAATTCGCTAGACAGTAACCATATTGTAGCTCAACCGCAACTTGGACCAATGGCGCGGCAGACCAAAAAACCTGTCGGTCTGTCCATCTGTCGGCCGCTCCACTCTCTCCCCGCCGCGCTGTCGTTCTGCCTGGGATGAGTTAAAAAACGGATGTGGGAATCTGCCGCCGCCAATTGGCGCAGCAACGTCGCAATCGATATCCTACGACTTGTCGCGCCGTCGCAGCCGACTACTTGGCTGACTTCAAAAACATGACGAGTCGCTGCATGGGCAGTGAACGGGCTGGCTTGATTTTGACTCGAGGCGCGTGACGCGCTATGACGATTTGTTTTTTGAAGGTCTAACCGCTTCGCGAAATATGCAACCTAATGCGCTACTATGCCAATGGCTCGTTGAGGCGTGTTAGACCTGTGCCGGCCCTCGAACGGAAAGAGCGCTCCAAGAACTCGCTCGAAAGGGCCCATGGCGCCGCTCGTTGTTGGGGGCCTTGGCGCGAAGAGCTTCGTCGCGTCATCGCGCGCTCTTGGGGGGCCTTGGTGGTGTCAAGAACTCTTTAACGTCATCGTTCGCTCTTGGGAACCTTTGCGTTGAAAGCTCGTTGCGTCGCATTTCTCTCGACGGAACCTTGGCGAGGAGAATTGTGTGCGCCGCCCCTCGCTATTGTGGAAGGGATGAACGGACCTGGGGGCCTATCTGCGTGTGCCCGCTCCCTGGGGGGCAGAGCCCGCGCTTGGAATCGGGGCGCGCCCCAGAGACGCGTGCGCCCTGGAGGCAGCGCGCGGCGAGGTTCGAGGTGGAGAGACGCGGGCGTCGCCGCCGCCGCGGCCTGCGACGTCGTCGCGCCCCCCCGCCTGCGACGCAAGGTGGCGGAAGCGCGCGGAAGATGACAGGCCCCGGCGGGGGCGAAAGGAATAGGCGACACCGCAGCGAAAGCAATCGAAGAGAGGCGGTCGCAGAGAAGCGTCGAGATGTACATCTGTGGCCAGGAGGAACACATTGAACGTGCGCGCGCGACGTATTCGGGAATTGAGATGGGCGGTCGCTGGCCAGCCTATGTTGGAAAGATCAGGACGCGCGCCTGGCGACCACGACCGAGAATGAAAGCAATACTGTGAACGTGCATGATCGAAGAAGCATGTCGACGCGCGCCCGCGGGGTGGCGGAACGCTTCTCATCGGGCCCGAGGAGCGCAAGCGCGGGCCGATCAGCGGGAACAGTGTAAACGATGCGAGCTCGACCAATTGGGCCCTCAGGGCTCCGCGGCCCCGAGCGGGGGCCGGAGCGCCCGAAGCGCCGCCTCCCCCCCGACGCGAGGCGACGTGGGGAATGAGAACCACCCCGCCCCACATGGGCTGCTCTTCGCGATGAGGGAGGTCTGGCCCCCGCCCAGAATGGGCTGCTCTTCGCGATTAGGGGCGTGCCGACCCCGCCTAAAACGGGCTGCCCTTCTCGAAGAGGGCCGGGCTTCCGCCGCCTCGAGCCTGTCCCTTTATGCTCCGTGGTGAGAGGTGCCAGTTTGCGGGTGTGACCGTTCCTCGCTTGTCTGGTGAAGAACGACGGGGTGCCCCCCCCCCCCCCCGATGGGAGACAGCCGTGCCCATTCGCCTGCAGTGAGAAGAGGAACGAGAAGGGCAACCTGACTTCTGGACACTGCGCGGACTCCGACTGCACGGCGGCGCTGTTCAAGCAGCGCTACTCTAAAATGCGACTTGCAGACAACGACAACCAGCATCCACAAAACACATCATGAGCAATGCTCATGGCCCCCGCCCGGGACGGGCTGCTCTTCGCGATTCGGGGCACCCGCGCCTGGGCGCGCAAGAGAACGCCGGCGGAGACGATGGCGAAGGCCAAGATCCGCCTGGACCTCGGAGAAATGAAGACGCGCGCGTGCAGAAGCGCAGCAAGGAAGGAAGACAACTGCAGACAGCGTCTTCACTCGGGTGGACACGCGGGGTGAGAGAAGAAAAGCAATGGATGAAAGGAGAAAGCGAAAACACAATGGGCGAATCAAGAGCAAACAAAATAACCTCGGCAATCGGGCAATATCGAAATATCTATTCCGCGCTGGCAACATAATCGAATCGGAGTGTCGGCAAACGTGGGTATTGCCGCCGGCTCTGGGCGGGGGCCTGCCCGCGTGTGCAAATTCGCCAATTGAGCTTCCGACTGATGCTGTCAACGACGGTCACGTCGGCCCAGGAGGCAAAGCAATGACGGCTGATAACCTGTGGAAGGGATGAGTGCGCCTGAGAGCCTATCTGCATGCGCCCACCAGCTGGGGGACAGAGCCCGCTCTTGGAGTCGGGGCGCCCCCCGCAGACGCGTGCGCCTTGATGGCAGCGCGCAGTGAGGTTGGAGGTAGTGAGATGCGGGCGTCGCCGCCGCCATGGCCTGCAACATCTTCGCAACTATTGGGGGCCTTGCAGGCAAGAGCTGTTTACGCGGCCGTTCGCTCGCGTGAATCATGGGGCGAGAACTGTTTGCGCCGCCGCGCGCCCATGGGGGCCTTGGCGTTTAGACCTCTCTGGCCCGCTGCTCGCTCTTGGGGGTCTTGGCGTTCAAATTTTGTTGCGTCGCCGTTCTCTCGCCGTTCTCTCCCGGAAGCATTGGCGCGGGGCATGGCTTGCGTCGGCGCTCAGTAGCGCCTCATTTCTCCCGGCGCTCGGGCCCTCTCGGGAAGAGACTTGCCCGAGAGGGCCCATGGCGCCGTTCGCTCTTGGAAGCCTTTTCCACGTCGCCGTTTGCCCTTTGGAGCCCAAGCGCGAGCATCTTTTTGAAGTCATCGTTAGCTGTTGGGGGCCTTGGCGGTAAGAGCCTTCTACTGGGCCGTTCGCCTTGGCGCGAAGAGTTGTCGACGTCGCCGTTCGCTCTTGGGGGCGCTGGAATTGCGAGCTGTTTGCGTCGCCGCTCGCTCTTTGGAGCCTGGGAATTAAGAATTGTTTATGTCGCCGTTCGTTTTTTGGGGCCTTGGCGTTGAGAGCTTCCTGCGCCGCTGCTCGCTCCGGGGGCCCTTGGAGCTCGCAGCTTCTTGCAGCGCCGGCTCGCGTAAAACAAGTTCTCCTGTTGACAAATGCTCCGGGGGTCTTGGCGTCGAAGCCGCCCCCGTGATTGGGCCGACTGGGGGGGGTGGGGGGGGGGCGTCTTCTTGGGGGCCTTCTGGGTGCCCTGGGGCTTGCTTGAGCCGTTGCGGGGCATGGCCTGTCCTGGGGCCCTCTTCGGCCCTTTTGTCTGCCTCCTATGGCATTCTGGGGATTCTCGGAGAATCTCTCGATGCCCTCTTGAACCGTCTTGCGGCGCTCAGTGGCCGCCCCGTGGCCCTCTTGGGCCGTCTAGGGGCCCGTCTGGGCGACCCCTGGCCCCGCGAAGCAATATTTCAATTTCGACGTGCGATTCGATGTGCTCTTGGTTTGCGTTTCGACCAAAGTGAACCTCGCAACGTGCACCTCGCCGTGCGCGTGCGCGCGATGGCATGTGCAAGTGGCGCCGGGGAAAACCCCAATCGCAGTCTTTGTGGTTTTACCAAGACATGATTTGATGTTGCGCTTCTTGGGCGACGACGGCGACGGAGGTGTGGGCGCCGGCGCAATGCTTTCGAAGGCCTATGCGGCCTATCAGCTCTACCAGGCCAATTGGGGCTGTAAAGCTACGGGGCGATCGAGCTATCGGGCTATGGGGTTAGAAAGCAATGGGGGCATAGGGCAACAATCCGAGAAGATAAGTTTGGACATGGATTTCGCGCTCGCGTGGGGGCAACTTTCTTCGCGGCGTCGCCATCCGGGTTGCGGTTTCTTGCGCGACAGCGCGAGGTCCAGATTTTGCCCAATGCGCGCGGCCGTTTCGGCTCCATTGCTGTGCGCGGCCTTGCGCTGCATCGCGCGTGGTCGCTTTGCTGTGCGTCGCGTTATTCGCGCGCGCGCGCGCCGCCGCGCGCGCCCGCCGCCGCCCGCTGCGCGCGCGCGTGCGCGCCGCCGCCGCCGCCGCCGCCGCACGCGCCACCGCCGCGCGTGCGTTCTGCCCCGTAATCCTGCCAGACGCGGCCCCTGTCGGAGTCGCAGTTCCGCTGCGACGCGCGTCCGCGGATAGAGAAACAGCAGCGCCATTGCA